GATAGATAGATAGATAGATAGATAGATAGATAGATAGATAGATAGATAGATAGATAGATATAGACAGACAGATAGATAGATGATAGATGATAGATAGATGATAGATAGATAGATAGATAGATAGATAGATAGATAGATAGATAGATAGATAGATAGATATAGACAGACAGACAGATAGATGATAGATGATAGATAGATAGATAGATAGATAGATAGATAGATAGATAGATAGATAGATAGATTTTACCATTACAGCCATAAAGCCAAATTTAGAGTGTAGCACAGTGTGCTGTTAAATAAATTTTGGTGACTGATTAAATAAATGAAATAATAGGATTTACAGCATGAAGTGTGGGAAAGGAGGGCACATCAAGCTTCCAGGCCAAGTAAATAGAAGGCAGTGGTGCCTTTCCCTAAGAGGAAACCATGAGAAGAAGCATATTTGGGGCAGATGTAAAACAGTAAGTCCAGCTTAGGTTATAAAGAGTTGGGGTACCTTTAGGACTTTTAAGTGAAGATGAGCATTCCAGGCTTATAGATGTACAGATCTAGAAATGAGGGAGAAAGATCTGGTTGAAAAGATCCATTTGGGATATCCCTAAACATACAACTGACAAAAGCTATGTGAACAGCTGAGTTCCCAAGGACAGTGGGTAGGGTGAGAAGACCCTAGGAAACACAAACATTTAAGGAGCAGAGAAAAAAAGAACCAAAGAAAGAGTCTGAGAAGAAGTCACCAGAGAGACAGGCAGAAACCCTGGTGTCATGGGAACATTTCAAGAACATGGTCAATAGTGTGAAAAGGTTTCTGCTAAATGTGGCAATTTGGAAGCCACTGGTGCCTTTCACCTGAGAAGTTTTAGTAGAGCAAAGAAATCAAGTCAGACTGCAATGGGATTAGAAATAAAAGTGAGAAGATGGGCACAGACACAAAATAATGAGTGTTTAAGGCAGAAGAGAAGGGAGACTATTTACATGGGGATCCAAGGTCTGGGAATATTTTTAAAAGGTTGAGAAGAAAAAGCCATCAAAGAAGGAAAGATAAAAATTATAGGACAGAAAGGGTAAATGATGATTGATGGAACTCTTAGTGGGCCAGGTAATATTAATGACAAGTTTCTCCTCTTTCTTCAGAACTTCTAAGACATGAGACTTTGGGTGAGTCATGGGATCCTTCAGATAAGGGCTCAGAGGTACCAGAAAGTGGCTAACAGAAGTCAGCCACTTTGGAGGAAATGAGGTAGTAGGAAGGCTTACTTTTGACTGTTCACCATTTTGCAGCTTTTAAGTTCTACTAGGTATGTGTATTTACATTATTACAAAACAAAATTTTAAAAATATTTAAGATGAATTCCATTAAAGGCCAAAGCCAGACTAGACTATTGCAGGTTAAGAATGACTCAAAGAGAGGAGAAAACAGAGAAATTCCCTGCAGACATCTCTTTCAAAAAGCTAATTCCAAAAGGGGTGAGAAAGGATTACAAAGTTTGGCAAGATGCCATGTGTTGTTTTGTTCTAAAGAAAGTAAAAACTGAAGCATTTTGAAATATTAATGAGAAAGAGCTAGTAGAAATTAGGTAAACAATGCAGTTGGTAAAGGAGGTAATAAGGGAGGGAGAGCAAAGTCTGAATAGGCAGCAGAGTTTGCAATTCAGAGCATAAAGAGGGGTATACTTTTACTAGAAAGGCCTTGGAGTGAACGCAATGCATCCATTCCCCATTTCCATCCTCTCTTCTTCCTATATCCAGCCCAGTGGTAGAGCAGTAAGCTGCGGCAAAGTGGGCCTGATTAGTATAAACCAACTGGCAAAATACTAGCTCCTCTGACACAGTAATTGGTCCAGGAATGGGAATGTGACCTGATTCTAGCCAATAAGACCTAAGAAAGCATTTGGTGGGGAGTCAAGAAAACAGGTTGCCACTCTTCTGGGAGAGGTGCGAAAAACCATCTCTTTCTCCTAGACATCTCATTAAATCAAAGAACAGGTACAGTGGAAGTGAGAGCATCAAGAAGATGATACAGAGAAAGGTCCTATTAAGCAGAAGTAAGGGTCCCCAGGGTAACATAAAGCAGGGCTCTGGGCTCAGTGCCCCCCACATGCTGCTGTCTGTGCCACCCCCACCCCATGAGTGTTGTTTCATGATTAACTGTAGTAGATAAATTCTAATCTAAGTGAAGCAGAACACAGATAAGAACTGCAGAGGGGGCTGCCCTGGTGGGTGTGGCTCTGTTGGTTGGGGCATCGAACCAAAAGGTGGCAGGCTTGATTATGGTCAGGGCACACACCCAGGTTATAGGTTTGATCCCGAGCCAGGGTGCATGTGGGAGGCAACAGATTGATGTTTCTCTCTCACATCAATGTTTTTCTCTCTCCTTTCTCTCTCTAAAAATCAATTTAAAAACAAGTAGAACACAGAGGGGCCTAATTCTTCCCACATCACCCAGAGCCTTAAACACGGCAGGTTGGAGGGGAAATGTTTTCAAGTTTGTGCTGATGTATATGAAAGCTTTATAGGGAGAGAAGACACTCTGTAAAGGAAAAATGAGGAACACTACAAGAAAAGCATTCCTTAAACTGGTATTTTTAAGGAACTCACCTCTGCATTCATCTTGGTCTCTTCTATCAGTGGCTGTGAAAACAAAAGTAGACGTTCAGGACCCTGGTGGCACCTGCCCCAAACTCCATGCAGATGTTCCCCTTTCCCATCCCCACTTTCTCCCCTACTAATTCCTGTCCTATTGACCCTATGTTCCCCAAATGCCTTTACTACCTTGTACCCTCCGGTACCCATGCCAGTGTATGATTCTGAGGCTGGTGGTGGCTCACTCCCTTGGGACATCACGCCAGTGATGTTTCCCTAAAGAAGAAAATTTCTAATCCCCAAGGTCCATCCCCTATATAGGAATATAGCTATGAATATCAGCCTCTCTGTACTTGAAAGAATGATGCACTTCCAAAAGCTGGTGCTCAGAGAAGATAGCTTTGTATATACCTGTCTTTTATGGGGACAAGCAAGGCTGTAAGAAATCCTTGTTTTTCTCTCCTAGCTGAGTTTCCAGAGGACTTACATTTATTATGTTAAAATAACAGTTCAAAAGGCTACTCTGTACCCTTGGCATTAAGAAGGAGGAAGAAGGGAGCAAACAGATGAGCAGGAATGAGGAAAGAAAATGGGATGATAAGGGGAAACAGGAAAGAGAAGGAAAAGAAATAAGAAGCTAGTAAGGAATAACAGTGGTTCCAAACTTTAATGTACTCCTAAAACTGTTTGTTGAAAATGGGTATTTCTGGGATTTACCCCCAGAATTCTGAGTCAAAAAGTCTACAGAGGAGGGGAGGCTAAGAATCTCTACTTCCAACAGGCATCCAAGAGATCAGGAACAGATGATCAGAGAGCTACACTTGGAAATATACTCTAACTTAGAGTAGAGCAGAGGCCCTTAAGAATTCATTTTCTCCTTCATTTTTCAGAACTGTCAGAATTGCCGCTTTATTTTAAATAAGACCTGGACAGGCAATGGCAGGGTAAATGAGGTAACCAGAGGTAACAAAGAAAGCACTAAAGATGCCTCTTCAGCTCTTTCACCTGAGGGAGATGTCCAAGATGCTCAGAGCTTATGGGAAGGACAGAGAGCCTTCCATGGCCTCTAGAAAGGAAAGGCTGTGGTAGCCCCTGTCCTTGGACCCAGCTCTGCATTTGATCTCATTTTCTTTCAAAATATAGGAAGGGTTAAGCACAGTGATGATTATTATTATGAATAACAACAATGAAATAACACCCATTTTAAAAAACCTTCACTCTTGGCAATCCTAAGAACAGCTGGGGTAATCATCTGGGCTGTGTGTTAAAAATAACATGTTTTCAGTAAATTCCCTCCTTTTTCCCTTCCCATTTCTCCTTGCTACTTTAAAGCAGGTCAAAACATGACCAGCATACAGGCTCTTTCCTTTTGAAATATGGAAACTTTCAATGTTTCCTGGAAATCTAAAAAAGGGAGCTTACTAGAAGACAAACCCTAAAAAACAGAGAGTGATAAAGTGGGTAAGCTTCTTCTCAGATCTCTGGGAGTCAGCACAGATATGATGATTTACTTCTATTTTTAAGTCTTCCTTGGAGCTTAAATGAGAGTGGGCAAGTCAGATAACAAAAGGCACAAATATGAGGAGGGTGATAACAGCGGTGAGCCTACTTGTGTCAACTACTTTATATACATTAACTTGAATCTCTGAAACTTGGGCAAAAAACTAATATTAATTCCATTTTACAGATGAGGTACCTGAAGTTCAGGGTGGGTAAAAGCATTTGTCCTTACAGTCAAGGTGTTGTGACACTGCACTGTAATTTCCAGACTTTCTAGCTCTAGAACCAAACCCCAGACTGCCACAGAGACCTTTACAAATCCTTTTGTAACCCAGAGAACTTTTATGATAACTAGGAGCCCTGGTGTGTTTGGTCCTGCTTCAGTCAAAGACTAGCCAAGTGACTGGCCAAACAGTTTCCTCATTTGTAGGCTAAGCAGTTGGACTTCACCTCAAAGGTCTATTTCAGTTCTAAGGTGTTCTCTGATTCCCAGAATAGGAAATTCAGGTGACCCTTAAAATAGGTGGAACAATGCTCAACCTTAGTCATGATAACTGAATGCAAATTATGATTTCACCAAGATGCTCTCTCAGACTGAAAGAGATCAAAATGTGTTCCACAGTGTGTTGGTCAAAGTGTGGGGAGGAATACACTCTCTGACATTAATGGGGGTCCACAGATGGGTATCATTTCTACTGAGGGCATTTTGACTATATCTATTAAAAGTCCAGCCCAGCCAGGCGTGGCTCAGCGGTTGAGCGTCGACCTAGGATCCAGGCAATTGGGGTTCAATTCCCGGTCAGGGCACATTCCCGGATTGCGGGCTCGATCAATGACTCCCTCATCATTGATGTTTCTATCTCTCTCTCCCTCTCCTTTCCTCTCTCTGAAATCAATAAAGATATATTAAAAAAAAAAAAAAAAAGGTCCAAATACACGAAACCTCTGACCTAACAATTCCACTGCTGCTTATTTCTGTCTCCAGCACCAAAAAAACACATTAAGGAGGAATTCATTAAATTTCCCTGAGTCCTTTTTTCAATGCAGAAACATTACTACTGCTTGCTTTCTCTTTCTAATGAGAACTTTCAGGAAAACTTTCCAATGAAAAATAATCTACAAAACATTACTTGTGAACTTGACTGCTTTCCCACAGAATCTGGGGAAAGCGAAACAAAAAGAATTTATATGCATATACGTATAACCTATGGACACAGACAACAGGGTGGTGAAGGCCTGGGGTGGGGAGTGGGAGTAGGGTAGAAGGGGTCAATGGGGAAGAAAGGGGGACATCCGTAATTCTTTCAACAATAAAGATAAAGTTAAAAAAAAAAAATTTGAGAAAAGATGGCTGTAGTCTAACAAGAGGTGTTAAAATACTGTGTAGTCTGCTCGGAAGGACAAGAGAAATATAGATGATTGGACATATTTTGACCAAGGAGCACTGAAGATACATCATAGAGACTGGTAAGAAAGGGGGAGGTGAGGAAAGGGGGAATCCCCCCTGAAGCCATGCTGTGCAGCGAGGCCTGAGGGTTGAAGGCTGCAAAGCTCCCTCCCCCTGGAAGTGTGGACTAACATTCAAAAGCAGAGATCTCAAACCCAGAGTGGTGAAAAAGGGAAGGAGAGCCCATGCACATAGGACAGAGGGAGCTGGGGGAACTGTCTGCCTGCCCCACGATAGAGAGGGGCCTGAGGGCTGCACCCAGCAGTGACATAAAGGGACCCACTGCTTTCCTGTAGGGCACTGTACAAAGCTCCTAGGAGTATTTGAACTGTGTGGAGCAGGGAAGAGAAAGGGAGCACTCCCTCCACCAGAGAGAGACCAGAGCAGCTGCAGGTGTGGCAGAACAGGACTCCTGCAGCCAGAGAGAGGGACTGGAGCTTCCAGTGGGGAAGAGAAGGGGTTTTTGACCTGTTCTGAAGAGAGCAGGGATAGCGACCAACCAACTGGAGCTGAGAATCCTGGCCCCAGCCCTAGAGTTCAGCTGTGTGGGAGACCTGCCTAGAGCTGACTTTGTAACGCCTCCTGCTTGGACTGGAGGACCAATGGTGGTGCCAGATCCCCACAAAGCAGGTTTTCTGCCTGTGTATAACTTTATGTTTTTGATTATTGGATGGAACTTAAAGGCATCCAATTTCCTGGCTTACACTGTGGAGATAGACCAGCAAAAGCAGGGTGTTATATCTGCATTGAGAACAGTTTGAACCAAGCGCCCTGTGAGATCAGCCAATCAGAACTGGGAAGGAGGGGTGGAGCACGCCTACCTCTCTTGCAGGCTAGGAGCACCACCCCCAACAGGAAAGGCGCTGGTTCAGCCCACTGAATCCCCAGATAACCCCCTGGGCAGTTTGGTGGTAGAAGGGAGAATAGCTCAGAAGAAGGCATTACAAGAGTAAGACTGTCAGGGACTACTGTTTGGGAACCTAGGAAATGCTCAAAACCACTTCTGGGGACTGGGCACGCACAGTTCCCACCGGAGCCTGTTTTGCTTAATCCCACTGAGCCCAGGCCAGCTGAAACTGCCCATACAGAATAGGCAAGAGACTGAATTCAATCTGAACCTGCATCAGACCATTTTAGGGGGAACTAGAGTTGGAGGACATGATAGAAACTGAAGAGTTGGCTTTGATGCAGAGACTAATTTCCCTTTGGTGAGTGCCTGTCAGCGAAACCTCTAAAGGGCCTAAAGTACACTAGCTGGCCTACACACTAAAGACTCTCTTAGGAAGATGCTGGGGTAAGACCAGGCAACCACAGGTGGGAGGAGAAATAGCTGACAGGTGGAAGTGGTCCACAGAGAGTCTCAGACCAAACAGCTACATAAGAAAACTGAGAGCCAAACCTAGACAGCTCCTGACATTGGTTGACACAAAAGTACCTCCCAGGAGTCCCAAAATCAGTAAATAAAACAGTGAGCCTCAGACAAGATAAGCCACCCAGATGAACTTCATTTGGCTGGCTTTAAATATATATATATAGTTTTTAATTTGTTTTGTCTTCCTTTGCTTGTTTTTTTTTGTTGTGGTGGTGGTGATGGTGGTGTCTTTTTTGTTTTTTTGTTTTGCTTTTGTTTCTGTCAAGATCTTTTTGACACTCTCTGCTTTACTGTTTGGATATTATTATTAAGTTTATTGCTTTTCTGTATTGTTTCTTCCATATCTCTTATTGAACTCCTTCCTAACTTGTGCTTTACCTTTTTCTCTCTTCTTGTTCCCTTGGCATACCTTTTTTCTTTTCTTTATTTTTCCTGTCTTTTTAAACCATTTTTGTATTCCTACTCTCTATCCTTATTTTTAGCTCTCCCTTCTTTCCTTTCAGAATATTCTCTCTGCCCCATTTACTTCACAGTAGCTTCTTTGTTTTTACTTCTTTTACTATTAGCAATAATATGCTTTTCTCTCTTTTTTGCCTTAGTACTGTGTTCTCTCTTTGCTTTCCTAATTCTACTTTCTTTTGGGTTGTTTTCATTGTGATTGTCAGGATATTTTATAAGTTCCTGTTTGTTTCCTGAGGGTTTGGTTGTGTTTTGTTTTGCCCTGTCAGC